AGGCCTGGTCTTCAAGTATAGTCAAAATGTCGGGGGTAAGGCTTCAACATATAATCTTCTTTTGGTGGGGAGGGAGTCATGATTCAGTTCATACACTGATAAAGAATAACTCCTCCTTCCTCCTCCTGGCCCCGTCTCCTGACAGCCATTATTCTACTTTCTACCTCTAGACTTGACCATTCTAGGGTCCCCCACACGAGTGGGACCATACAGAACTTATCCTTTCATGACTGACTTCTTTCACTTAACGTAATGCTAAGTCTTCAAGGTGTCCTCCATGTAGTAGCATGTGACAGAATTTCCTTCCTGTTTAAAGCCGGGTAATATTCCGTTGCACAGATAGACCACATTTTGTTTATCTGCACATCCATGCATGAAACTGCTGTGTTTGATCAGTGTCTGTGTCTCTTCCCTGATGTTGGCCGCTGTGATACTTCTCTGCATCTCACCTGCCAAACACAGTGCACGAAATATTGTAGTCTCAATAAATGTTGAGTGAATGAAAGAGTGAGTCCATCAATTAACGCAGTGGCCATCACAACAGCAGATGAAGAACTCAGTCTTGGGAAGGTAAAGGGGTTTCCCATTGTACACCATTGCCTGTTCTACCCTGCTTGTAAGTGTTCTGAGGTAGAAGTAGTTCTGGTTTGTCTGATCTCCCAAACATCACGCCCTATTTTAGACATCAATCACATGGTTTGACTTCTGATGGTGGAAAAACCTCCAGGGGAAGTCACAGTCTTAGAATGATGCAAAATAAGCCAGGAATGTTCTAGTAGGAAAGTCTGCCCTGGATCCATGATGATACAAGATACTAATACAGTGGTCCTTAACCAGGGTGATTTACACCAGGGGACGCTGACAATGTCTGGAGACACTTTGGGTTCTCGTGGCTGTAGGGTAGGTGCTCTTGGCATCTAGCAGGTAGAGGCCAGGGGTGCTGCTAAACATCCTGCAGTGAACCAGACGTTCCCACAGCAAAGAGCAGTCTGGCTCAAAAGTCGGTAGTGCAGAGGCTGAGGAACCCTGTCCTAAAGGAGACTCTGGGAACTAAGAGTCTCCTTTAACAGGTTTGGCTTAACCGTTTGGTAAGTCCTAAAGATCTCGGGATTTTTTATGACAAATATTAACATAATAGGAAAGTTTTCTTTGCAGTTGCTGTGATACCCTGTATTTGTTGCCTTCAGGGGCAAAATACAAAAATGATATATGTAAATGATGCCAAAACATATGTACACAGAATAATATTTGAATGAAAAGGGAGAATGTAAGCTGCCGTGTGTATACTACTGTATCTGTGTTCAAGCATGTTAATGTACATGGACGAAGATGGGAAAATTTGAAATAATGTAGTGTATATTCCAGTAATGATCTCTGTTCAACCTTTTACTTTTAAAGTGTTTTATGTAATTATCCACTTGGAAATTCAAAAGTCAGGTGTATAGCCTTCCTTTAGGTAAACAGCAACCATTTATTGAGATTAGATACTCAGCCAACCAGAGAACTGAGTGCTCTTTGGGTATCAGTGCATTAAGTCCTAAACAGGTCAATGAGGCAGGCACTGACTGTGATGACCGTTTTGCAGATGAGAAACCTGAAGCTTAGGGGCACGGTAATCCACCAAGGCCACAAAGCCAGCAAACGCGGGGGCTGAGATGTCTACCAACTGCCCTGGGTCTGTTCCAGAGCATGGCTACCCCATGCTGCCTGCAGGAGTTGGTGCTCTCATACTGCGACTGGTGTTATCAACTAGTTACAAAAATTTAAAATTTTTTAAAAGAATATTTGCTAAAGTTCTCTTCTCTTTGTTATAATATAATTTGTTATATTCTCTTTGGATATCTGGTGTCCTCAAAAGTTCATATGTTAGACAATGCAAGAATCCTTAGAGGTGAAATGATTAGATCATGTTCCCCAGTATGACTCACTCAGCAACTAACTGCCCGTATCAGCTGCCCTCTCCCAGGGAACATAGCAAATAGGACAGATATATAGGTAGATATAGATAGACTTAGTTATATATCTCCTATATATGGTAAGTGTAAGATAGATGATATGTATGTATAATCTATTTGAGATTTATTGCAAGAATTGACTCACATGATTATAGAGACCAAGAAGTCCCATTATCTGCCATTTGCAAGCTGTAGACCCAAGAAAGCCAGTTCTGTGCTTCAGTCTGGGTCTGAAGGCCTGAGAATTGGGGTGGCCAATGGGGAAAGTCCCATTTTGAGTCAAAAGGCCCAAGAACCAGGAGTACCAATGTCCAAGGGAAGGAGGAGAAGGATGCTTCAGCTCAAATAGAAAGGATAACTTTGCCCTTCCTCCCCCTTTTTGTTCTATTTGGGGCCTTGGTGGATTACATGATGTCAACTCACACTGGTGAGGATGGGTCTTTCTAGTCAGTCTACTGAGGCAGATGCTAATCCCTTCCAGAACACCCTCACAGACACACTGAGAAGTAAAGCTTTACCAGCTCCCTGGGTATCCCTTAGCTCAGTCAAGTTAACACATAAAATTAACCATCACATTTCTTGCTTTCCAATTTGGCAGCTATGCAAATTGTCGGCATTAACTTTTTGTTTTTCCCTGTGGTTTGATGACCCTTTAGATTTCAGTTTTCACATGATAAATTTGATAGTTTGTTTTTAGTGCTCAGATATTATGACCTGTAGTGGGTCTCAATGATTTCATAAAATCAAAACAAGTTCTAAATGGTGTTTATAGCAACATTGAAAAAAAAAAGAAGAAGTAGTTGAATATGCACCCCCCCACCACCAAAATCATCTAGTCTTAACTACAAATCATTCAAATTTGTCTATTGCTGTGCCATGTGGAAATGATTTATTTAAAAATATTTAGGGAATGATGAAATCTGACTCCTTTGGTTGCTTCTCATCAGTGACTTAATGTTTCAGGTTTTCAAAATGTAAATGACAGTGTTATCATTTTATGGGGCTCTGATAGCAAAGTTAGGGCTCAAAGGTCATGCATTTCTCATGACAGATTATGTGGCTAGGTGATGGGCCTTCCTATGAGCCTGGGGATCACAGAGATTGATTTGCTCTGTGGTTATCCTCTCAGGTCAGGGTCCCTGGAAACAGGCCTGGGGCAAGGATTGGGTACATTTTATATATGGTGGGTTTGTTCCCCAGGAGGAGCTCTGAGGGTGTAAGGGACTCTGAACAGGGAGGGAGGAACCCAGTAGGGATGTTACTCTAGTCCACAGTCGGAAGCTCTGTAGCACAAACCTCATCCCACTTATCTTATCTTCCAGTTAGAGAAAAGGGGTGCCCTTTTGTACCCTCCTGTCAGCCAGGCAGTCATGGGATGGGCTGACCTCCTTTGCCTGTGCAAGCGTAAGCCACTTATGAGCCAAGAACAATTAGCAGCCAAATTCTTAGCACCCAAAGGAGGGTTGGGAGAGAGAGCTGATCACACTGAGGCAGTGAAGGGATCAGTGTTGGGGACCAAGATCATCTACTAAAAAAAAAACCCAGTAGACTAGAGGAAGGGGACCAGGTGGAGGGAGGGGGAGGGAAAAGAGAGGTCCTGGGGAATTAAATTGACCAGATTGTTATGTGCATGTATGAATATGTTGCAATGGATCCCGCTACTATGCATCATCATAATACACCAATAAAAATTTTTAAAAAGAATATTTGCTAAAGTTCTCTTCTCTTTGTTATAATATAATTTGTTATATTCTCTTTGGATATCTGGTGTCCTCAAAAGTTCATATGTTAGACAATGCAAGAATCCTTAGAGGTGAAATGATTAGATCATGAGAACTATGACCTAATCAGTGAATTAATCCACTTGAATGGATTAACTGGGTGGTAACTGAAGGCAGAAAGGGTGGTTGGAGTATGTGAGCTACTGGGAACGTGACTTTGGGTTTATATTTTGTCTCTGGTGAATGGAACTCTTCCTGCTTCCTGCCTGACATGAACGGAGAGCTTTCCTTCATCACACCTTTCTGCCATAATGTTCTGCCTCACCCTGGGCTCAGAGCCAACCGAGGACTGAACCTCTAAAACCATGAGCCCAAATAAACTTTTCCTCTACTAAGTTGTCCTTGGCAGGTCTTTAGTCACAGCAAAGAAAAGCTAATTCAACATCATCTTCCTAATATCGAGTGTTTCTAAAGAACCCTGTACTACCAAAGATCCATGCGTACAGCAAGAATTTAATAAAATGCCCAGGAAAGTACCGTTAGATACTTTTCTCACTAGCCTTTCAATATTATGATTTATGTTTTTATCTTACTCCTATTCGTAACTCATAATAAGAACATAATTTTGTAGATTTTTTCTCCTTGTGAAATCCCAGTGCGTGGACAGATATCTGGAGGCCCCAGCACCATTTTGATAACTGCCAGTTTGAACTTCCTTAGAGAAGCCAGACGGCCCTGGTCTGGTCCCTTCCACTAGTGGTGTTTGGGTCTCTTGCCACTTAACTCAGACTCTAGTCTCCCCAGTATGAAGAAGCTTCCAGGGTGCGGCACAGCTAAAATCATAGCCTCTGCCTCAGCTTTTCCCACAAAGGCAGTAAATAAGAAAGCTTAACCTCGTTAGGTCTTTTCTACCCAATGGTGATTCCTGTTGGTTGTCTTCATCCATTAGAGGAAGGCTCCTCCAAGCCCCAATCACCTCCTCATCTGTACCTTTTCTATCCTATCTTAGTGGAGAAGATCACCACTGCCACCTGTTACGCCTGACCAAATCACAGTCAAATGCCATGTGATGATGTTTGGGTCAACAACAGACCACCCACATGATGGGAGTCCCATAAGATTATAATGGAGCTAAGAAATTCCTACCACCCTGGAATTGCGTAACTCTATGCTCAACTCCCATCTTTGTGGTGATGCTGGCGTGAGCAGATCAACCAGTCGCATAACCTGCCAGTTGTATGAAAGTATAGCCCACACAATTACACACAGCATACAAGACTTGATAATGAGCATACGCAACTATGTTCCTGGTTTATGCATTTATTATACTAGACTTTTAATTATTTTTTTAAGAGTGTACTCCTTCTGTTCTTAAAAAAAAAAAAAGTGTACAGTAAAGCAACATGCCTGTGACCCTGGTCTTGTGTTTACTGCATCTCCTGACTGCATCCAAAGGTCGTCCTGAGCGACTGACCTGGACCATCTGCGTTTGTGTAAGTACACTCCGTGACATTCACACAATGACAAAATCGCCTAACAGCACATTTCTCAGAACTCATCCCGTCGTTAAGCCGGTGCATGGCGGTGCATGACTGTGGTAAGTCTGCAGGAGGAAGCAGAAGTTGGCTTTGCCCGTCCCCATAGCAACAAGCGCCCTAGAAGCCTCTCTTCTGACCCCAAGGGCTCTCAGTTAACCACTGCTCCAAAAACCCCGGTTTGTACCAGAACATTACTTTTAAAAAGGCATTCAAATAGAGTTTGAGGAGAATTTTACAGAGCTATAAAGCAGTGATTTGTAAATATCTAAGGTTTATGATTATGGTCCTTAATTTACCCCATAATCATCATCATCTTAACAATATGATGAATGACACGCAAGTCTGTCTCTGGGAAGATTTATATATTTGAGATGTAGAAACATTTAGAGAAAATGATACCGTGTGAAGGATCTTCATGGGTAAAGGTTTGAAGGGGGAATTGGTGCGTCAGGCACTGAAGGGCTCGTCTGTTCCCTGGGGCTGCGGCGTGATTCTTAAAGAGCCTGAGAAAGCTGCTGACGGACTTTTTTATTCCTCTTCCTGAAAGACAGAGCACTTTTTCCCAGGTAATGAGTCTCCATCATCGGCTCTTCTGCTTCAGGGCTGTCCAATTCCATGTGGACACCATCGCCATCGATCACCTTGTGGCTTAAAATGCACCTATCAGAGACAGCTCATGGCTGAACCATGGGCCACAGCTGAGATCAACCAGGTTGCTTGGCAGAGGGAAACATCTGCACTGTCAGCCGCTCGTTCTGTGGCGCATTTCATTCACTTGGATAACCTATGGTTACTGCTGCATCTCCCAAGTTTGCCCCTGGGAGATGCCATGAAGTAAGGCACTGAGTGACTGATTCCGTGCTTAGTATGTGAGAGTTTGAGTCAATCTGCAGCCGCCGCATGAAGGATGGTCCTTCCGATCCTGGAGTCTTTTCATGTACATGTGGACCATCAATAAAACTCACGGAGATAGACAGCAAGGCACATTTAATAAGGTGGAGCGCCTGCAAGCCAAGGAGGCTGGATTCCTGTCAAGACTCAAGTCAGTTTAACTCCAAAGCCAACATTTGCATTTTCCCAATGCCCACATCTAATTAAACAGAAGGCTGATTCTCCTGTTGGGGTTCATGAAAGTTCAAGAGCATGCTCGTCTTATACCCACCAAAGCAAGGGGGATCCTCTGTCTTGTCAGGCATTTTCTGCAGGGACACTGGTAGCAGCAGAGAGAGGTCCTTTTCCCCAATGTTTGGAAAATGAGCACACGGACCAACTCCAGCATCCTGGGCTGGGAAATCAGAGCTGCACGTGGCTGCTCTAACCTCTCTCGGACCAAAACTTCCAAATCTGACATTTTCACAGAATTGTGAGGTGGGAGGATACATATATCACAAAGAGCTTAATCCTCTCTCCTCCAGTCCTGGTGCCTACCCATCCCACATGATATGCACCCAGACAACCATGTGTGCCAGATATCCACAGACTTTAAAAGAAAAAAAAATACCTTCCATGTCTTTATCTTCCAGGGCAAACATTTTTATCCCAGGAGTCTTCATCTGAGGAGGAAAGAGAATCAACAAAGAGTCATAATCTGCAAACATAGTACTACAGCCATTTTAAAAGCAAAACAGGAAAGTAATTTCCCCCCCAAACCATGGCTCTGGATCTATTGCAAGACAAGACTCCATTTCTGTGTTCGTATGAACAATGAACCTTGGATTCCTAACCTGTGCTCAGAAAAGCCAAGTAACTCTTGTGGAGCTGGTGGAAGATGCTGGTAGCAAGAGCGGCTCTGAACTCTATGGTAGGCGTATAGAGCCTGGGGTGCTCCTGAAGTCCAGAGTAAAGTCAGCCAAATGGACCAACCTAAGCCAAAGAGAGAAGAACAGGTCAGCTGGCCATTTCAGAAGTCACCAACACATAAAGAGAAGAAAGTCTAGACCAAGGAGTCTGAAACTTAGCATGCATCAGAATCATCTGGAAATTCTGTTAAAACATCAGCTGTTTGAGCCTTATCTCGAATTTCTGAGTCAGTAAGGGTGGGGTAGGGTTGGAGGATTTTGTGTTTCTAACAAGTTCCCAGGTGATGTGCTGGTCCATGTACGGCTCTTAGAAGCCATTGATCTAGACCTGCCAGCGACCTGCTTTGCACTCTCTGTCCTCTGGATAGCACAGAGGTTGCTAGGGGCAGGGAGGTATGGAGGTGGCAGAATAATGAATACATATTCGGATGCACATGGTACCAAGGTTTCACTTTCTAGTTTCAGTTATTCTAAAGTCTAAAACTTTTAAATGGAAATTCACAGAAATAAACCATCCATCCGTTTTAAATTGGGCACTATTCTGAGTAGCATGATGAAATCTTATGTCATCCAGTTCCATCCTGCCCTGGACATGAAACGGGACTTTGTCCTGTATATTCACACTGTATAGGCTACCTGCTCAGTAGTCACTTACTAGCCACCTCAATGATCCACAGTGCTTGTATTCAAGGAACACTTATTGTACTTAATAATGGCCCCAGAGCACAACAGCAGAGATACTGGCAATTCAGATACATCAGAAAGAAGCCATAAGTGTTACCTCTAAGTGAAAAGGAGAGTTTGTCATAGAAATGTTATACGTAGAAAACAACAGAGGGTATATAGGATTCGGTAATACCTTCAGTTTCAGTCATCCCCTGGGGGTCGTAGACAGGGTCCTCCTGCTGACAGAGGGGCTGATGTACTCAGCAGTTCTGTATGATAGGAATGGTTTCCCAGCTTTCTGATGAGCAAAGTTGCTCAGAGAGACTATTTCTCAAGTCCACACGGTTAGATTTTATTGGCATCTGATTTAATCGACCTCGGTGGGGGGGCTGAGTATCAGATTTTTATAGCTTCAGGGTGATTGTAATATACAGTGAAGATAGAAAGTCGCCAATTTGGAATTTTCACATTTTGAATGAGCAGCCCAAACAAGAGACCATGGACAGCATCCCATGAGGACTCTTCCCCAGGATCTGCAGAGGACTGGGAGGGTTACCAAAGTCGTCTTTTCATGTTCTGGACTTAGAGGATCTGTGGAAGGAGACGCTGGTAGGCAAAGATATCAAAGTTGTTTTTAAGATGGAAAATTTAGATATCCTTTCAGGCTACTGATTTCTTCCAGCTCTGTTGAAGTAGTAGATTCAGATTCTAGAACTATCAAGAGAGTCCTGATTACCTATCATACCTCCTACTCAGGTGCCAACCCCCACTTTGTTATGACTCATCTGGTCCTCACTGTATCAGCCACGGTCCCTGCAGGAAACCAATGGCCCACTCAGAGTGTGTGATAATCCAAGAGTTCTCCCACAAAGAGGCTACTCAGAAAGTCAGGGGACAACTGGGAAACCACAAGAAACAGCATTGATTCCAGAAGGAGAAAAGTGTAGATATGTCTATTTTGAGAAGAACAGTGACCTTTGGTTAAGGTCCACCTGAAGCTGTTCCATAAGCAGGAAGCTGGGAGAGTAGAAGTCCCAACACAGCGGTAGGTATTGGTCAATGACCTACAGCTGAATGTCTGGGAAAAAAAAATCGTAGCATTCTTTTGGTGTAAATAGTCTTCCCATGACCTATTTAAAGCTACCAAGTTGAGGTCACTAGATGCTGAATTGACAACAGATGTGCACGATCAGCTGTCACGAGCTGGTATGAGCAGTCTCCAACTACCCCACCCTCACTTGTGCTCCCTCATTTCAATCTCCATCTGGATCTGCCCACTGAGCACACCATCTGAAGGTGGTACAGGTGGACAGGGTCTCAGCCTCCAGGAGCAGGGAGCATCAACAAGAGGAAGAGGGAAGAAGAGTTTCACAAAGATTTCTTAGAAGAATTGATTTAGCCTTTTCCTTCGGGCTCCTTGGGCTTCGATGATCCCTCTACCTTCCCGGTCCAAGCCTTTTCCTAGTTGTGCCCTGAGATGCTTGTGTGATGCTTAAATGGCCCATGTTATAATGCCAACAGCATCCGGACGGGTTGAAATTTGAAAGGTAGGAGGACATTCTCCTCAAAGACGTGAACACCCTGTTTTTGTTTTTATTTTTATTTATTTATTTTTTCAATGAAGAGAATAAGTAAAGGCAATCTGTTGTAGGGTTGAAAAGCACACAGTGACTGAGCCTCATGTGAGTTAGAAACTGCAACCTAGGCCACTTGCTCCTGGTCCATTGGATAAGCATTCACTGGGTCCCTGCTGTGTGCAAAGAGATGACAGGAGCTGTTCCCTCTAGTAGCATTGAGCTGTTCCCTCTATAGCATTCTAGGTCTTTCAAACTGAGGGGATTTAATTCAGGGAATTTATGACAGAGGAATGGAAGAGCTGGAAAGCAAACAGGAGACAGGTTAGAGACAAAGCAAGCAGATACTACTCCTAGAACTTGGGGAGCAATGGAAGAAGATGTGGTTGCCAGAGTCTGAAAGTTCTGTGGGGGATACCACACACACAAAAAGATGCAGCTAATTAGAAAAAAAAAATCTACCAGGCGAATACTCTGGGTCTCCCTTCTCTCACCCTCTATTCTCTCACTTATTCTCATTGGCCAAACCTACCCAGATGCTTAGAAATGTAGTTCTGTCTGTATGGAGCAGAGGAAGAAGAGATGCATGTGAGCACAAACAGGCCCTTGAGTAGCATAATTCTTGTGGTGCATCTGGACATGTTACCCACACCAAGCAGATAACTTTCTTTGGTCAAGGAATCCAAGGAAATAAATCAGTCACTATTGTATTGAGCAGTCAGAATGAGCTCCGTCAGTCCAAATTCTAGGCACCTGTGCCATCAGTCTCTTACAGTTAGGTAAATGTTAGGGTTCTCCAGGGAAGCAGAACCAACTGGGAGGTCAACAAACGGAGATAGTTGATAGGTAGGTAGATGGATGCAGGTCTAAAACAGGGAGTATATTATTGGAATTGTCTCACATGATTATAGAGGCCAGAAAGTTCCATGATCTGCATCTGCAAGCCAGGGAACCAGGAAAGCTGCTGGTGTCATCTAGTCCAAGTCCTAAGGCCTGAGAAACAGAGGCACCTATATCTAAAGTAGAAGAAGATGGATGTCCAGCCCAATCAGGCAATGAAATCACTCTTCCCCTGTCTTGATTCTAACTGGTACCTCAACAGATTGGATGCTGCCCACCCACAATGGTGAGGGTGGTCTTACTTACTTAGTCTACTGAGTCAAATTCCAATCACTCCCAGAATACCCTCACAAACACACCCAGAAATCATGCTTTACTAGCTCTCTGGATATCCCTCAGACTAGTCAAGCCGACACAGAAGTTAACCATCAACTTATGACATCTTTCCACCCTCCTCCTCCTTATGCAGGACACAAACCACCACGTAACTTCTGGTACTCAGCAGGTGGATCTCCAAATTTGGCTCTGATAGGTGACCTTATATAAGCAGACTGCTTAATGCAATGTCCCTTATTCTCTAAACTCTCTGTTACATTTAGTGAACGTTGATATCTCTGCTTTGCTGGAGTGAAAACTGACCCATAGTGAGTTGTTGACTTGCTTAAGGTCACGGAACGCATTAACAGGACTTCCACAACTGGAACCCAAAGCTCCTGAGTCATGGTCCAGGGACCAGTCTGGTTGCACCGTGTGGCCCTTTGTGGCTATGAAAAGATCCATCTCTGGAGAAGGCCTCCTTCAAAGTTAGCTGAGATGAGGTGGGCATTCGCACTGTGCTTTGTGCCTTGCTGGGCAGCATGCCACCTGTCCCTTGTTGGGTGAAGTGACTCTTCAGTGGACAAGAGAGTCACTCTCTCCCCTGAGGACAGCTCAAGGAGGACTTGAAAAGGAGCCTTGGATGCCACATACTCAGATCAACATATGACACAGCTATTGTCTTCTACACTGTAGCCTGATCTGCCACAAGCTGAGAAAAATATTTTTTTTTCAAATGTATGACTATTTGTAGGATTTGTCCGTTTTCTTTTGATGTTGAATGTTCTTCTCTGATGTCCTATTTCCAGCTAACAGCAGGAGGTCACTGGACATGGAATTGGAAAGATGTGTACAATTTGTATTCAGGGTCTGAGGCAAAGGCAGGCTCCAGTCCACCCCTGCCCTAACCTTATTCTCCCCTACCCACTGCCTAATACCCCACCTCCAGGCAAGGGTTACCAATTCATACTGATCACACATTTTTCCACCCAGAGCTCATCATGGGTGATGCGCATCTAGATGAAGTAATATTCTGATGTCCTGGTGTATGAAGTGGTCTTGGATGCTATCTTGGTTAAGTTATGCTTGGCAATAAACAGACCCATCCTCCCAGGCCCTGGGAACACCATTAAAACATCTGGTGCAGTGGTTGAGGACGTAGCTGTCCATGGGTTCAAATCCTTGCTTTGATACTTACTTGCTCTGTAACCTCAGGAAATTACCTATTTTCTCTGTGCCTTAGTCTCCTCATCCAACTAATGAGAATGCTGGAAATGTGGATCTCATAGGTAGTGGGTCCGTCAACTTTCCACTGTTATAACAAATACATGAGATAATCAACTGAGAAGAAGAACGTGTTGGTTTTGGCTCACAGTCTTGGAGGTCTCAATCCATGGTGGGTTGACCCGTTGTCTTTGCGCTTGTGGTGAGGCAGCACATGATGATGGAGCCCGGGGCAGAGAAAGTGCTTACATCATCTCATGGCAGGAGGAAAGCAGAGAGAGGGGAAAAGGAGGGGCTGGGTTCCAATATCCCCTTTAAGAGCACACCCCCAAGGACCTGAGTCCCTTCCACTGGCTCCCACCTTCCAGAAGACTCCACCACTTCTCAATAGCACCATGGACTAGGACCAAGCCTTTAACACACGGGTCTTTAGGGACATTCAAGATCCAAACTACAAGCAGCTACAATTGTTTGGCCGATGTAAAACACTTTTAAAAATGCCTGTAGCCCTTGATAAATGTTCAATGTCATCATTGCTACGTGCTGACAGTTCAAAGGTGCACCTGTAACACAGGAGAAGGTAGATGGTCCATAAAACACCTACAGAATGACAGACTCTCATTTCAGCCACAGACTGCTGAGGGCATTTAAGTCAAGTTCACACCCAATGGGTGAATCTCTTCTTCTGCACCAATTTTTGCTTGAGTACCTCCAGTAGCAGGTATCTCATTGCTTCCCCAAGGTGCTCATTCCATGTTCAGCCCTCTCGGATTTGCATGTGGGTTCCCTTCCCCTGTTGCTGAACCCAAATCAGCCTCCCAGCAAGGCAAAGCTCATTGATCTGAGTTGGACCTTCTGGAGCCACATGGAAAAGCTTGGTTTTCCTGAAGAGAATCAGTTGGCATTCTGGGCTTGTCAGCAGCAATCACAAACTCTGTGGACCGACTCTTGGTGCAAGCTAGGTGCTTGCTACAAGAAAGGAAGCTTGGAGCTCTGAGGAGCTAAACTCCTGGGACCCACCAGATGGTCAGATCCAATCCTGCTCTCTCTCACCAACACTCACTCTGCTCACCACTAGGATTTGCATAGATGAGGTGGAAGGGCCCAGCTCAGTTCTCATACCACCTGTCTTAGAGAGAGGAGTGCACCTTTAGTTGTAATCCAACCAGAATGGCACACAGCAAGCAAAAAGGAGGTCTCAAAAATAAATAAATAAATAAGCAAACCCACCCTACCTCCAAAGTAAGATGGTAGAAGGGTCATGTCTTCTAAGACAATCTTCATGAAGACACTGTCCCGTCCATGGACGGTACTCTTCCACAGGCTAAACTTTCCAAATGGCTCCTTTGGAATATACTAGAGAGCATTTGTGGTGAGGTGTGGCTCAGGTATCAAACTGAGTTCAAATCCTTGGATTCCCCACTTGTGGTCTGTGTGACTTGGGGCAAGTCATTTTGTTTCCGAGGCTCAATTTTCTCAAGCGTTAGGTTGGGATAATAATAATACCTTATAGAGCCATTGGAAAAATGAAATGAATGTGTTTAGAATGGTGTTGCATTCCAAGAGGAAATATCCCCAACATCCTGTCCTCATGGTGCTCACATTCTGTCCATAGACCTGAGTGTCACCTCTGCCCTATGCTTGCTGAACACATATATGCTACAGGTATAAGCATGTGTGCATTTGGCCTGTCTAGCTCTAGACACCTTACCTTGTTCACCACTGTGTTCTGATGCCTGAGGCATGCCAGGTGTTCCACAAACACTGAATGAACCCATGAATAAACCCACATATTCACCACATTGTTTGAAACCCATGTGCAGTGTTAGATTTTCTAAGGTGAAATCCTCCCCTACGTTTCAGCCATATAAAAAGATTGTGTTGAAGTGTCATGAAATCCACCCCCAATTGTTCTTCCTTCTGCAAACATGCGAAGAAGAGGAGCAGTGCTGTTCTCTGGGATGGCAGAGTCGTGTGGATAGTAATTTCTCTAAACAGTCTGGTAAGGAGCAGCCCAGGGACACTCTGGTGGAGACACTGCCCGGGCATCGGAAAGGCCCATCTCATGCTGCCAAGAACCCAAGAGTTTTTGCCAGTACGTCCTCCCCAAGCACGAGAGCTCAAGGCACACGCCGTTCACTCTTCCTGCGTCTGTTCCTCGCTCTCCCTAGGGTGGACCAGGAAAATGGACCTTGACAATGACCTTGATGTGCCCCATCATTACATTTTCAGAGGATTTCTTTCAATGGACTCTTCTTTAAATTTAAAAGCAAGTCCAAAGCGTGGCACTGACGTGGGAAAGATTTCCAAGAGTTGAGGCAATCATCACTCAAATTTCTCAGGCAAGGAAAAAAAATTATTTAAAAACAGAAGTACCTTTCACATGGAAGATCTTGGGAATTGAAGCAAGAGAAGTTTTATTTTTTTCCCCATCGTCTCCATTCAGCCCAGTTCTGGGAACATTGGCCGCACACCCTCCAAGTCCCTAGCACCAGGGCAACCAGACTCCCCCATGAAGGGAGTAGCCACAGGACTGGCCGGGGTAGGCTCTCTCCCTCCTGCTCACTCTGAGACAGAAACCCGGGCCCCTGACCTGAATTCTCCCCTGGCCACCTGCTCATCCCACCTGGGCTGTGTGTGCTAAGCTGTCACTTAGATGGAGTGTCGTCAAATACTGTCTGCCACCTACTTAATTTAACACCTCCACCTTCCCTGCAGATTTTCTTCTGGCTGTGTTCAGGGACTGTGTCACAGATGGCTCGCCAGGAGTGACTCTTCCGCGCCAGCTGTTGGACTCCGGGAGGCTGAGGGAGCCCCGTTCTGTGAGGGCTGACCGGGCTCCTGCGCTCCACCTGAGGAGTTGCCCTAGCAAGAGTCGGCCCGTGTCACCTGTGCCTGTGTCCTCAGGCCGCTGGCTGCTGTGAACACGACCAGCCCATGAGCAGCGGCCATTACAGGGGCAAGCTGAGGCTGCCAGCGGCTCTCTGAAGCTTCTAGATTCCCAGCTCCTCCCTGGCATTCTGCGGGACTCAGTCCTTGCCCACCTCTTTGCATTCTTATTAGAGATAAGGTCTCATGGAGTTGCTTAGCACCTTGCTTTTGCTGAGGCTGGCTTTGAACTTGAGATCCTCCTGCCTCAGCCTCCTGAGTTGCTGGGACTACAGGAGTGCACTACCACGCCCAGCAACACCCTTTCCTTATTCTCTTCCTTAGCATCAATTACAAACCCCTAAACCTACATCTGTGGTCCCCTCTCCTGCCTCCAGATCTGCATGTCCACAGCCCCTCACTGGCCACCTGCACCCAGCAGTTGCAGACACCTCGTGACCCTTAGGCTTCCCACAGACCTTCTCTCCCAGACACTTAAGACTTTGCTCACCTGAAACAGGGTGCCAGAGTCCCCAACTCTCCTCGGAGGCTTCCCCACAGCCATCTGGTCACCAAGTCCTTCTAAATCTCCTTAATAGTTGCAGCTTTTCTAATTCCAGCTGCTTCGCCTTATGGCCCTCTTGCAGATAGAAGGATATAATAACTTCCTCTGACAATTTCTCTGTGTTTAGTCTTAGCACTCTTGCCCCAATCCTTTCTCCAATACACTAGCAGAGAGCAACTATTAAACATGGGTTCAATCATGACATCCCCTGTGCAGGCCCGAGCGAGCCCCAGCACCTGGAAACCATGACCACCATCTTCTTTCTGCTCTTGCTGGTGCCACGCCTCCTTCAGGGCAGCCCACGGTAGCTCATCCAGGGCCTCACACTTCCTAAGAGTCAAGTTCTACTATTGTTCCATTTTAGAGATGAATAAACCAAGGCATGGAGAGGCTCCTCAGCTCTGAAGCGGTTCCTGCCTCCTGTGCCGTCTCATGCTGTTATTTCCTCTAGCAGAAGGCTCTGTTGATCTTCAAACAGCATCTTGCATGGAATCCTAGAACTGAGCATGAAGCTGATTCAAAATGAAGCTCTCGTGATTAAAAGGGGAGGGGGCACAGGACCCAGGCCACGCCCATGTAGTGGGTCCCCCCCTTTCATGGTCCCTTCTTGGAACTGCAGGGCTCTTGGGAGACCTATTTGAAAAACAGTAGACCCCAGGCTAGAATCTGGCTTCGCCGATCTCACAGACATGGGTTCTGGGTCTGAGTTCCAGAGGCTGTGGTCGGCAAAGGGTTAAAGAGCCACCGAGGAGGGGCAAATGTGCTCAAAGTCAGCTTGTAAGAGTGAAGATCAGTGCCAGGGTGTGATGGGGGGTGAGGAGGCTGGGAGCCCAGGAGGGAAATAACAGTCAGAATAGCAGATGCAAGAAAGCCAGGCTCCTGGGGTGGGGACAGGGCCCTGGGTCACATGGTTCACAATAGCAAGTGAGGATGTGTGCAGCTGCCCAGGGGGCACTACCTGCAGGTTGAACTGCCTCCCATCCACCAATCCTGCGGCTCTCGGCTCCCTCCCCGGAGCCCGTACACCTGCCCCTTCTGTCTCCTGCCCTCCCTCTTCCTGCTCTGCTTGGCTGGGGCCAGACTTTGTCTTGCCATTTCTAGGCTGAGTTCGCTTCCCCTCCCCTGGGTTTCCTGAAACACTGCACACACACACACCTGTATAGAGCACCTTGCCTTTGTTTATGGACTTACCTCTGTCCAGAGCCCCCAGTTCCCCTCATCAGAATCCTGGAGGAGAGGGTCCACATCCTTGTCTCTCCAAACTCCTGAGGTGGAGAATCTCAGTATATGAGAGTGGTCAGCTCCAGGCCTGAGGAATGCATTGTCTCCTGCTGTCCCTCCTGGGCAGGGTCTAACCCAAATAGGAGTTTGCTGAGGGAACCCTCCTGAAGCTGCCTGATAATGTCCACACCACTGCCCTTGGATTAACCCAGTTTCCCCCACTCCTTCCATTCAATCCTGCTGACTCCCAGTCCATCTGCCCGAGGTCAGTAGAAAGCCCTGACTGTCAGAGCCAAGCCAGGCCTCAGACATCTCCTGGCTCATCACCCACCTGCTCCAGGTACAGGTATCTCATTCATCATGGCTCTACCTTCCTCTGTCTGCTCAGGCTCTGCTCTTGATTGGCCCCTCCAAAGGAACTCAGTCCACTGTGGTCTCTCCTGACTGCCTCAGGAAGTAGCAGGCTGGGGGGCCAGGGGTGTGGTGTTTGGAACCCACCCCCATTGAATCCCATGAAGCCTCCTTTCTCTGCACCCCGAATTCCTACCTGTAAAAAAGCAGAAAGTAACATTCCCTCCCAGAATGTCACTTCCATGATTCCCACGGGCTTCACGCATTTCACTTAGAACAGCGTCTGGCACAATCAATAAAGACGTCTTAAAAGAGTCACTGAAGAATGGCTGAGTGAATGAGAGAAGGCAGGGCGTGGGAAGGGCCTGGCATCGCCACGCAGCAGTAGTAGTTCATTTAAGTGTCAGGTTAACAAGTCTGAAATAGCAGCTGACACCATTGCCCGCGTCCCCTCCCTTTGTCCTTCCTCATCAGCCCTACTTCCTGGGCTCGTGGCCCCAGGGAAGAAATGAGATGGAGCATAAAGTGAAAAATAGCATGTGACTCTCTCTTCTGGCTTTGATTTCCAAAAGCTCTTGTGGAAAGTCCCTGGCACTGGGGTAAGTACAAAATGGTGAGCGGTGGAATTTGGAGAGAGTGAAATTTCTTCCAGAATCAGAAGCAGACAAGGGCACATCGATGAACACAGAGGTTGTTGAGTCTGCAGGGAGAGACCAGCGCAAAGCTCCCTGGGGGATGAAGTGCTTCTGAAAAGAGCTAAGTTCTAGTTCAGCATCCTCTGATGGCTTGGCTTCATGGGGAGCACCTGTCACCACCACCATCTAGGAGCCCTACGGGGATCAACAAAGCTCAGAAGCCAGGCGGGGGGCTGGGTTGCTGCCCCACTTTTTACTGATCACAGTGTTCACTGTCTGCTGCCCACAGGGACCAAACCAGCACCTTGCCTGTAGGGTCCTCGGGATGTTCTGTGCAGCAGCCCAGTGTGCAATGAGGGGGCGCCTCTCTGTGCCCTAAGACAAAGCTTCTTACCAAATCTCAGGAATCCAATAAACCCAAGAGAAGGAGATGGGGAACCATGGGGACATAAAGCAGTGAGGAGTGCCCAATCAGTCCAGTAGCCATCCCCCTCGAGACAAATCCCAGCCCGTTCCTACCGATTTTACTCTCTTTGCAAAATTCTTTCTCCTAAATTTGCTTCACTATCAACGATGAACCACAGGTCACCACTCCAACTTAAATAGTAACTCCAAACCAGCTCCTATTTGTGGGTGACTGCGTACCCCAAGACTCGTCACGTGTGTGTGTGTGTGTGTGTGTCCATGCATGTGTGCATGGCGAGACCCAGTTGCCTCAATGGAAGGAAGAGCCACAGAGTCTCCCATACTTTGCACACATGCAGAATTCATGGTCCAGTTTATTATGTCTCTTAAAACGTTGAGTTCAAACTGATAGTGAAGCTGCCATCTCTTCCCCAACCCCCTCTCCAAAGGAAGGAGGCTTCTAAGTCCAGCCACAGCTAGGTGGCTGTTGACTCCACCCCTCCTCCAAGACCACGCCCCCAGGGGGAGGGCGCCACCCACTCGTCACAATGGCAACTGTCCATCAAACACTGTTTGATCCTCAGTAAAGGCAAAATCCTGAGCTTCATTGGCTGAGCGTGAGCAACTCTTATATTTGAAACCAAATATATATATGACTTCTATGGGATGGAACCCAGTGCCTCGCACATGCTAGGCAAGCGCTCTACCTCTGAGCTGTGACCCCAGCCCCAAACCAAGTTTTGTGAAATAGTATTTGCTCTTATCGTGTACAGTGCACTGTAATAGTTTCAATCTGTTAAATTACAAAAATCGCTGCTTTGTGACTAACTTGATTTCATAAGTTTCCAGTGAACTGCAACCCATGTTTTAAAAGATTGATACAGTGTGTATTACATGGTAATAATAAAATGATCTGGTCTGGTGAAAAAATAAAACCACTTCTATGAAGACTAGATGGAATCGAACAGGCTTCCATAAACATCCACAAGACATTTTTGTTTTGTACAGTTTGGGTTTTTCTTTCCTTCCTTCCTTCCTTCCTTCTTTCTTTCTTTTATTTCTAGGAAAATTCTTAGGGCACAGTCATAATTATTACAACTATAAAACGTTATTGTCTTTAGTGAACATCTACTATATACTCTGCATGAAAAACCACTTGTACTCAAACCTGCTCAATCTCAATGCCTTTGCAGCCATCTGTCTGGGGCACCACCAAAGAGAAGGTGTGCTCGATACTGTCATCTACAAATTGGCCATTGATAAGAATGGGTATCCAGAGATCCAAAATGTCAAGGTGTGGCTCAGGTTTAGCCAAACCAAAGACTAAATGGATCCTTGGATGGAATGAGAAATATTTGAGGAAAATCCATGAGATTTGTACGGGGCCAGAGAAAAGTGGGAGAAGTCGGCTGGAGGTCAAGGTATTGTGGCGGGTAGCGGCAGGGAGCAGGGAAGACACCGTCAAGGAGACGTGGGGAAGGACCTCCTTCCTCCCACTCTGCTCTGAAACTCGGGGAGCAGAGTGCTCTGTTTTTTACCGAGTTACCCGCTACACAGCTGGAACTGCGGCAGGGGGATCTCCTGTTCATTTTGGAGACCTGCCAGCTTCTGCTACTTCTCAGGTCACAGAAACACCTGAGCTGAGGGACTGCCCGTAAACCCTCATTCACTTGATAACTGAGGCAAGGGAGAGGGGGTAAAGACCCAGTCATTTGACAACGGGTTTCTGGGAACCTCCTGGTATCGTGGCATCGGCCCAGCATTTCCAGAATGACTAGTCAGGGGACAGATTGAGAAAGGGGAATAAAAACCTGCACCGACTGAGAGGCATCCCCATCCGTCTCCGCTGGGTGTTTAAATGTATGCAATGGAGGGCCCTCTGAGGGAGGCAGAGGTTAAAGTAATTATGGTTGATTGTAAACAGGAAAAGGTACCCCCACCTTCTGGTTTGCAGTGTTTTATGTTCTCAGAAGTGTTCTTGTGGGTTTTCCCCACTTGATCCTAACAGTGATGAGCCCATTACATGGATGAGGAAAACTGAGGCTCAGAGAGTACATGTGAGCTGACTCCAAATTCAGAGGCGGCACCGTCTCTCAGAAGACAAGGAATAACTGTTGTGTATGTGGCACGTCCTTTATTCCTTTAATCCACTTACCATCCCACACAGTAACCACGAACTTGTCCAATTTGAAGAGGAAAGCAAGGCCAGCCTTCAACCATTTGGCCAAGAAGAAAACCATGGAAAGTTGGGCTTCAACACACATCTGTCAGCCTCCGAGGCCAAATTTCCCCCTCCTCTCTGTGGATCTAGTCCTTTTACATTTGATAGAAGAAAACAAAGACCCAAGAGGTTAAGTGACTTTTGGGGGTCACACACAAAGAGCTGAGCCTGCGATCTGAGTGACAGCTAGGGATGTGGGTCTGGGTTAGGGTTTAATCACTGCAGCCCCGAAATCAAACGAGGCTGTAATGAGGTGCCTGGGGGGTGCTTTGTCGGCAGCGGCAATATCTAGCAGAACAAAGTGCTGAGGGAGCCCTGAGATCTCAAAATGCCCAGAGGAATGTGCCCAAGCCCGCAGCCAGGGGTAGTTGGTGGCTGATCCTATATATAGATAGAATTGTTCACCAGCTCGTCCAAGCAGCCTTGAAATCGCCCCTCGAGCCTCCGTCTCCGTGGGTGCCGTGAACTGTGCTGCGAGCACGTGTGCGCACTCCATGGTGACGCCTGGGAGAGTCTCTTGTCTGCAGATGGCACAGCTGAGACCGTGCAAACAAGTAAAGGTGCAGCGACCTAACAGAGCCACCTGAATGGCGGGCATATGGCCCAAGTGGAAACCAGAACTGGCCTCTCACTGAGACACCAAGCCCATGAGAGCCATGGAGGGTAATAGAGATGCAGAAGCTATTAGCTATTTCCACTGGAAGCCCTTTTAGCAGTGACAAAAGGAGACACAAATGGAGAGGGAGTTGTGGCAGATGGTCTTCAACCAGAGAGGAGCAGGAGAGGGACTGATGTCAAGAAGAAGTGCGGGCTGTGACCCTGGTGATGGCTCTATTTCCTGTTCCAGGCTCCTGGGCAAGGATTCCAGGCAGGGGGGACACTCACTCACTGTGGAAACTTCCTGCCCTCCACTCTTCATATTGGTATGAACATTTGAAGAAAAGGGAGGTTCTTACAACTAGGAGAAAACATTTTGCTTGGCCACTGATTGGAGTTCAGTTGCCGCTGTGCATGGAGTTCTAGTAACACCTCTGTTAGAATTAGTACCCTAGAGGAGGGAAAAGGAAAAAAAAAATCAAACTCTAAGCCTCTTGAGAAGCAAGGATTGGAAGGCAGTTCTGATGCACTAGACCTTATTGCAGGGAGGACAGCAGAACTCAATAAAGCACTCAGGACCACTGTAGACAGTTGTGCAGGTTGTGCACTGAACAACATTGGGGACATCAATTAATTCTTTATCTCTTTTTAGATCTGTGCAGTGGAAAACATGCCAACTATATGTGATGGGTGAGCTGGTAAGCTGTATGTAGTTCCAAGCATAAAGGTTAGAAAGGGGAATTGATTCTAGGGATAGCATATAGCTAACAGCAGAAACCACTCTGATCCAGCCACACTGCTTCCCTGGTGTATATGGAGGAAGAAGGCTTCAGATTTGTCTCAATGGATGGAACTGTAATACCAAGTACTATGACAATTTATGACAAGGCGATTTTTGAATGGGCCACATTTTCACCCTCAGTTCTCCAGGGCCAGGTGGATTAAGAAAGGTTTCCCTGGAGATCAGCAGAAGCAGATGGCTAACTAGAGCCACCCCCACACCCCCCGCAGGATGGTGGGAGGCTGTCCATCAAGCCCCAGAGCAGCTGAAAGCATCACCAGTGTGGTCCACAAATCTCTCTGGTGAGGGGTGACAGCAGCCACACCCCATCTCTGTCATCTCCATCAGCGGTGAGGTAGGCGCAGCGTCAGAGCCTGGCTCCCGGCAGCTGCACCCGGTAGATTTGGATTTGAATGATGTGACATTTCCAGGAACTGTCAGGGAGCCAGCATCTGTGGCTGTTGAAGTTCCGGGGGCCGACAGAGGTCACACTTGGCTGTCCACAAGGGAGGGCTGGAACTAGTTCAGGAATCCATGAAAGCGATTTGGGGGACCTCTTAAATGTTTGGAAAGGAGGGGATCTGGGAAAGATGCTTGGGGCGCTGCAGAGGTGAGTCTAGGGGTCCACAGAATGAGGCCTCCCCTAGAGCTCAACAGGCTGACCAGACAGATCGCCCCTCCACGCAGAAACAGGGAGAGCACCATGGGGCACTGCATCCTTTGTCCCCAGAGTCTGAGGCCACAGAGGAAAGGCCCCAGACCCAGACCCAGGAAGACAGCAAAAGGGCCGCGCTTCAGAGCGCGGAGTGGGGGGATGCTCTCGAGGTCCCATCGGCCATCA